ATTATCAAATTAATCTGCCTCACAAAATTTCATATTTCTTTATTATTTTTGTAATTACTAAATTGTACATGAACACTAATTTTTGGAAATTTTGACGTCAAATTTTCAGAAAATTAGGTGAAGCAATGTTCCATCAAGTTTTATCACCCAAAAAACAAAAAGGTTCAATCAAGTTTTTGGATATGGCCATGTGCTTGTTCTTTACGCCTTTTCCAGTCAAGCACGTCCATGGGTCTTGTCAGGACCATTAATTAAGCAATTTCTATGTGGGTCTTCGCACAAAACTTAAGTGAGTGTTTAAATTAATTTATTTTAAATGATCTTGCATTATATAACAGGATAGTTTTGTTTTTCAAACGGTAAAATAATTTTATTTCAATTGACTTTCTTGTTTTCCAAACCCTTCAGCTCGCCATTCAAATAATAACCAAAAAAATTGTTGATAATATGGTAATCTCTTAATATCTCTTAATATTCAAATAATATTGAAATTTAATTACTTTTTCTAAAGAGTATGTTATAAAAGATCTCTCATATTTTACTTTATGTTAAGTTCTTAATTGAAATTTGTATTGATTTAGCACAAAGTAAAATTATCAAATTGATCTGCCTCACAAAATTCCATATTTCTTCACAAATTTTCAGAAAAAGTTGAATCAACATTCCATCAGGCTTATGTGTGGCTATGTACTTGTTCTTTACGCCTTTTATTTTTTCTTTTGATTGATTTTCATTTCATCAATCAATCACAAAGTCAAGTCTTCTCCCCCGTTTGTTACGCTAATGGAAAAATAGTCCTATAATTGAAAACTTTTGTAGGGCATTGATCATACTGATATAACTACCATTCCTCCGTTCACATTGTTTCAAATGTTTTAAATAAAATTATTTTTTCTCCTTTCATCTCTAATTTAAACGAGTACTCTTATGAACGGTGTAATGTATACAGTTTCATGCATAGCTTATATGTTTGTATGATTCATTGCATATAATACTCCTCTAGTCCTATTAAATAAGGTAGAGAGAAAATGCTTGTTTAGTCCTATTTATCAGATGTACTATTAAATTTTTTGTACAATTTTTTTGTTGCAAGCAATTTTATTTTATTAATAATTTATTATTATGTTATTTAATTCTTATATGGTATAATGCATATAAAATAGGAACAGAATTAAAATTTTATTAAATTTTAAGATAAAGTTAAAACTACTTTTAGTTTTTAATATAAGAACTATATAACTAATTTATAAATATTAAAAAAATTAGTTAAGTTAATTATTTTTAATAATGTATTGTCATGCTTAAAATATCCTAATTAATCGTGTGCATTGGAATTGCTCTATCATGAAACTTTTAATATGTGCATTCAGCACATAGGCTATTTTGAAGAAAAATAGATAAATATAAGAAACAAAGAAAATTGTAATTTTATATTTATGATCAAATTAAATCTATAATTAGCTATAAAAGACCAAAAGTGGCAACATTTAAGGTTTTTCTTCGGCTCAATAAAACATGTTGAATATGATTTATAAATAAGATCCAAGAGTACATATGTGGGAATGAACTTCATAATAAATTGAGCTTTTTTTCATCCCAAAATTTTGACCTCTTAATAAAAATATTTCGAAATTTTAATATCTCTACCATTACATTAACTTTCAATGGTTGGAATTCAAAACTATATAAAAATATTTTTTTTATTGCAAAAAGCTAATTTTGCATAAGTTATAAGTAAGTTTTAGGTGCTTTTATAATTGTGCTTAAAAAAACAGCTTTTAATCTATAAGTCAGATTGGTCAAAAATTATAATAAATAGCTCTCAAATTTACAAATTGGCTTATCTTTTTTTCCTCCTCAAAACGCCTTACCATCAGACACGCTGAAAATTGGCTTGCGACAAAGTCACAATTGTTACGGCATGTACTACTTATAAATAGAGGAGGCAATTTTAATATCATTATTTATATATAGAAGTGTGTTATACTGTGTTGATATTTTTGTGATAAATTAATATGATTGATTATATTGATTGAAGTGAACTCTTCCCGTGCGGTGGACGGGGGTATATATGCTAGTTAAATATAATAAAAATTTACAATTGCCAACTATTCACATCAAATTTTAATACTATATATATTTATCTGTCTATTTTATTGTTTAATATTTAATATTATAATAACATTTTTACTGAATAAATCTCACCTGTTGAAATGAAGAGGGAAGTTAGTGAAGATGTTCTGCTTCTAAACCTATGTGACATGGGCTCGACCCAACATATTAAAGAGAAGAATTTGTGTCATAAGGAGTCAACTCAAATAGGTCAAGAAGATAATTTAATATTTCATTTTCTAAGAATTTATTTGGCTCTAAATTTATTTTTTTTGTTTCATTTTCACCTCAATCACAATTAATTGGCAAAGAAAGGCAAGTCTTTTGGCCCGTTTGGTACGCTAATGGAAAACTAATCTGTAAATGAGAACTTTGTAGGGAGTTTATTATAGTGATATAATCATTATTCCCCATTTCTCATTGTTTCAAATATTTTTTTTTAATAAATAAGGGCATAAACATTAGATCTCATCAAATAAAGTTATTATTTTTTAATTTCCCTCCTTTATTTCTAATATCCAATACATCTATACTTTCTTTGTAAAATTGGGTCAAAGTCTCCAATTGAAAATTTTATTAGTGAAAAAGACTTAAATGAAAGTACCGATACTTTGTATGTGCAGAAGTTGCAAAGTAAAAAATATCAATATTTTTTGTGTATAAAAATTTAATATGTTTTTCACACAAATAAAATTTTAAATGGAGGATTTTTTTCCCCCTAATTTTCTCATACTTGTATGGGTATTATTTTGTAACGTGTATTGTAAGCCTCTAAGGTATATTCCGGGGGAGAAGAAAAGTCTTACTTTCTCCATCACCATATGGATAGCTAGCCAATAAAAAGAAATTTATAACTTGTTTAACGGTTTAAGGGCTGATGAAGCAATATAAAATGAGTGAATAAAATAATTTAATATTGTTTTTTATTTGTTAACAACTTACTTGGCTGTGGGTTTTCTTTGATTATTTTTCATTTCAATCACATCGCAAAAAGCGAGTCTTCTTTGCTAAAAACACAAAAGGGCAAGTCTTCCTCCGCGTTTGGTACGCTTATGGAAAAGTGATCCGTAACTGAAAACTTTTTAGGGCACATATTTATTATATATGTATTGATACAATCATTATTCCCTATTTTTTATTGTTTTAAATGAATTTTTTTCTATATTTGCGCATAAGCATTAAATTTTATTAAACAAAATTATTTTTTCATTTTCCCTTTTAATTTATAATATCAAACATATGGTATACTATTTCTGTGTGTGTATACTCAAAATCAAAATTTTGGGACAAAAATGAATTAATGGCAACTGGACAATGAAGGACCATTTTGAAGTTTCTCACTTCCAAACCTTTTAGCACGCCATTCAAATAATGCCGAAAAAAATCTGACATAAAAATAATGCCAATTTTTTTTTTTGTTGATAATATGGTAATCTCTTATATTTCTCCCATCCTCCTTGTATTCAAATACTACCTCTGATCCTTAATATAAGATCTAATTAATTTGTTTGAGGAGATCAAGAAAGTTAATAAATTACCTTAATATATTTATATTTATCTTGTTACTTTTATAAATTAATATATAATGTAATGATATACATAAGTATTTTAGAAAAATTATATAACATGTAATTATGTAATTGGGTCTTATGTTAAGGATCAGGATAGTAATTTTGAAATTTAATTACTTTTTCAAAAGAGTATGTTATAAGATCCCTCATATTTAACTTTGTTCAAGTTCTTAATTGAAACTGTTTTTGATTTTAGCATAAAATATAATTATCAAATTGAAAATTGACCGACCTTACAAATTCCATATTTCTTGACTATATTAGTAATCATTAAATTATATATGAACACTAATTTTCAAAACTTTTCACCGTAAATTTTTAGAAAAGTTTAATCAGCGTTCGTTCAGTCAAGCACGTTCGACGTGTTGCCAGGACCATTTGTTTAATTTACTTTAAGTGATTTTATATTTTCAAAATAAATATATGAGAGGAATATTCTGTTGTAAAATGTAAAATAGATTTTTTTTAGTTAATTCTCTTAATAAGTCTTTCTTTTTTTCCAAGGAAACATAATTTTTTTTGGCAGCCTCTACCCCTCTCTCGATATATATGATGTAATGAACTTATTTTTATTTTCCTTAATTATAAAAATTTCTATTCCGCTTAAAAGATATACGTAATACGCAGGCTTCCTGTAAAATTAAAATTGGGTTGCACAAATTTTTCTTTTATTTTTAATATTTCATTTACATCGACCATGACAGTACTATTAATTATTAGTCATTAAATAAAATAGTTTAATTTTTTTTGCAAAAATAATATTTTTAATAGCTTGCTAGTATACAGGCCCTTACCTTGGGAACATTATTCTATATTAAAGCTATAATATAGAGAACTATTATATTATGAGTAAGGGCTACAGTGATGTTATCAACAAATCTATTTGTCATGGCCAACATGTCAGTGAATCTATATATTATGCGTTAAATAATAGAAATCAAAACCTTGACTTATAATTCTGTTATGGGAGGGGGGGAAAAAAGGCTTATAATTCTTTTTTTTTACAATTAGGAATTATAAGAATCAAATGCACAGTGCACTAAAATTAATTTGTGTTTACAATCCCATGGTTCATATACTGAAGCCAACCAGTTTTTAATGGCGACAATAATTCATGTTAGTTTTTTTTTAATCAATTCTGATTATATTTTAGTTCCCATCAAATTCTTCAATCCAAGTTGGAAGAAGAAAGTCACTTGAGCTAGCGATTATTATGACAAACCTCTTATCAGGCGTAGCTCTGCCTATAAAAGAAGCCTCATATGTTAGATACCATATCCTGCACTCCTTCATATTCATAGCCTTCTAACTTCGCTCATGGCGTTTCGAATCATCATGTGTTTCTACTTGTTCCTTCTTTCTCCTTTCCTTTCTTCTTCTCTCAACCCCCCATTATGCAATTCTCATGATTCCATTGCACTTCTTCATTTTAAAAACTCTCTCTCTCTTGATCATTCTGCTTCAATGGAGTGTGATGAGTTTAAGAACACATCTTACCCAAAGACAGCTTTGTGGGGAAATGATTCAAACTGTTGCTTGTGGGATGGGATCACGTGTGACTCCATGTCTGGTCATGTGATTGGCCTTGATCTTAGTTGTAGTTGGCTCCAAGGTCACCTCCATCCTAACAGTAGCCTCTTCGAACTTTCTTATCTCCAAGCACTCAACTTGGCTCACAACAATTTTAATGGGTCTTTAATATCATCTCATTTTGGTGGTCTTTCCACTCTCATGCAACTAAACTTAAGTGCTTCTGTTTTTGCTGGTGAAATTTCTCCTAAAATTGCAGAATTGTCCAAGTTGGTCTCTCTTGATTTGTCTAGGAATGGATTTTTCTCATATGATGGATGGTTAAGACTTGAACTGTCCACTTGGGAGAAGCTTGTTCTAAACATGACTGATCTAAGAGAACTTGTTTTAGATGACATAGATGTGTCTTCCATTGCATCAAGCTCCTTGTCTTTGAAGTCGCTTAACATTTTGAGTCTTGAAGGTTGCAGATTTGATGGGCCTATTCCTGCAAGTTTTGGGAACCTCACTCACTTAATTGATTTGAACCTTGCAAAAAACAATTTTAGTGGTAAGCTTTCATTTCTTTCAAATCTTCAAAGTCTCACTTCATTGGACCTCAGTGACAATTATTTTAGTGGTCTCTTACCGAATTCCATAAGCCATTTGAAGTCTCTTGATTTTTTGGGTCTTCGGGGTAACCAATTTCATGGGCCTATTCCTGTAAGTTTTGAGAACCTCACTCAATTAACTTATTTGGACCTTGAATTTAACAGTCTTAGTGGTGAGCTCTCATTTCTTCCAAATATGTCAAGTCTCACTTTATTGGACCTCAGTGGCAATTATTTTAGTGGTTTGTTACCAGATGTGTTTGTAAATCTTTCAAATTTGAACATTCTTGATTTCTCTGATAACAAGCTACAAGGTAATTTTCCGGAGTCAATATTTACACTCATAAATCTTTCTCATTTGATACTATCATCAAATAACTTGAGTGGCTCTGTTAATTTTTGCCAATTTTCCAAGCTTCAAAATCTAAAATATCTTGAACTTTCAAGCAACAAGTTTCTCTCACTTACCTCTGATAATAATCTTAACTACACCATTCCCAATCTTTCGAGCTTATATTTAGATTCTTGTCATATCACTATCTTTCCAAAATTCATAGGCCTTCCAAATTTGCAGAGGTTAAATCTTGATGATAATAAGTTGCAAGGTCTTCCTGAGTCGATTTTTGGTTCCCTAAATCTTTCCTATCTAACTGTGTCATCAAATAATTTGAGAGGCCCTATTAGTCTTCATCAATTCTCAAAGCTCCAAAATCTACAATCTCTTGATCTTTCGAACAACAAGTTTCTCTCACTTAGCTCTAGTAATGATGTTCACTATACCATTCCCTATCTTATAGAGTTGGATCTATCCTCTTGCAACATCAATGACTTTCCTAAACTATTAGGAAACCTTGAAAATTTGAAGTATTTATATCTTTCCAATAACAAAATTCATGGAGATATTCCCCAATGGTTCAATAATGTGGGGAATGGTTCTTTGTATGCTTTGGATCTCTCTCATAACAACTTGACATCAGTTGAACATCTTTCAATGAGAAACTTAATGTGTCTTGATCTCAGCTTCAACTTGTTGCAAGGCAACCTCCCAATTCCATCCTTTGGTGCTTATTTCCTTTCATTGTCCAACAACAAATTCAGTGGGCACATTTCTTCCTCATTTTGCAATGCAAGCTCACTTGAGATACTCAACTTATCTCACAACAACTTGTCAGGCCACATTCCAAAGTGCCTTGTTGCTTTCCCAAATCTTACGAGTTTAGATCTACAGATGAATAATTTTGTCGGATCTATACCAGATAATTTTTCTAGGAGCAATTCTTTGGAGTCTTTGCATTTGAACAACAATCAATTTGAGGGACAGTTGCCTTTGTCTTTGACCCATTGCAAGCAATTACAAATTTTAGATGTGGGAGCAAACAAGATCAATGACAAATTTCCTAGTTGGCTTGAAGGCTTATTAGAGCTACAGGTACTCATTTTAAGAGATAATGAGTTCTATGATGCCATTCATAGTTCCAACACCAAACATCCTTTTCCCATGTTAAGAATTTTTGACGTTTCCAACAACCGTTTTAGAGGATCTTTGCCAACAACATACATCAAGGAATTTAAAGGAATGATGAATGTTGACTTTGTTTCAGGCACACCAAATTACTTGGAAAGCAAGTATGCTGCTTATCAAGAATCAGTGATGGTCACATTGAAAGGTGTTGATTTGGAGTTGGTAAAGATCATAACTACATTCACATCAATTGATTTGTCAAAAAACATGTTTGATGGAGAGATTCCACATGTTATCGGTGAGCTGCATTCACTTAAGGGGCTTAATCTCTCCCATAATAAAATCACTGGTCCTATTCCTCAATCCATTGCAAACTTGACAAACCTAGAATCATTGGATTTATCATCAAACTTGCTTAAAGGTGAGATTCCTCTTTCACTAGTAGATCTTAACTTTCTTGAAGTTTTGAATCTTTCACAAAATCAGCTTGTTGGAGAAATACCAAGAGGTAAGCAGTTTGATACATTTTCACAAGATTCTTTTGAGGGAAATTTAGGACTGTGTGGATTTCAATTGTCAAAAGCATGTAATCATGATGAAGGGAAATTGCCACAACCAACTTTATCAAGTAATGACAAATTTGGATTTGGTTGGAAACCAGTGGCTTTGGGATATGGATGTGGGATGGTGTTTGGAATGTTCATGGGTCAAGTTTTTTTCTTAATTGGAAAACCTGAAGGGCTTATCAGAATTTTTCAAGCTAGGCCTAAGAAACAAGCAAAAAGGACAAGGAAAAGAGCCCATCAGAATCAAAGAAGAGTGAATTAGGCACAAAATGTGGCTTCATGTGATATATTGTGTCATCTTTTTTCCCCCATGTTTCCACTATGGTTATTATTGCATGTTTCTTAAATATCTTGTTAGTGATTGGGATGTAATTTATTGTATATTTTAATGCAAGTTATTGTCTTTCCCTTTTTTCTTAATAAATTTCAAGTGATTTGCCTTCATTTGTATGCTATGTACTATTCGATCATCATGTGAATAAAATTTTCCACATATTAGCAACTTTTTTTCCTTTTTGGTACAGACATGTCATCAACTTATGCTATTTGAATTAGTTATCAACCATTCAACCTTTCTCGTTTAATTAATGATTTAAAGAAACTTTTAGTTTGTTCTTTCTTTAATTTAAAGTTCTATTAAAGGATTTTAGGATTTTATAAATATGTGAAAATAACTTTCTACTTCGAGACTTTATGATCGATAGATGATTGTTCAGAATAATACTCCAAGCAGGAATTTAAAATAAGCAAAATGATTTTATTTCAAATTTTAAACTATTAAAAAAAATTTCTTGTTTTTGCCAAACTCTTAAAACTGAAAATATGAAAATGCAAAACACAAGCCTCAATTGCTTTATTACTTAACAGTTAATGTCCCATGTTGAGAAATTTTACTTGGACATAGGGAATCAAAAATTAGGATGAGAGCTAATGTAAAAACTAGATGGGGAGATGAACCAACTTTTGATATGAAACCCTGATAAGGTTTGGCCGGGCATTTCCATAATTATTAGTTTAGGAAGAGTAAAATGGGAAAATTTGGGAAAAATTTCAGAAAATCCATAAAAAATGGGGAAAATGTAGAGTAGAGATTTTTGAAACTCGATTGAGGCTCGAAAGATGGAATTTCAGTGAAAATGATTTATTACGGAATTTCCCATAAACGAAGCTTTTCCCCTTGAAGTAACCTAGTGGATAAGTGTTAAAAAGGTAGTGTTGAATTATAATTTGATTGTTAATCTTGCTTGTTTAATGTGATTTTTGTTTGCTGGATAGAGGAACTTGTGTTGTGGCATGGATTGGGTGAATAACATTGGTTTATGCTTTGGTCAAATGCATTGGGTTATGTCATTGTGGAAGTGTTGATGTTCCTCTTTTAGCATGGCATTAAGCATGATTTTATGGGGTTGATTATGCCTTGAGGTATCACAACATGTCACATGATAACTTGCTTGATTTGCATGATAATTGTAATTCAAATGCTACTGAGATTTCATGGAAATCTCATTCCTCCTATGTTAAAATATGTATCAAATAGGAAATGATTCATCTGATAGCAAGGACAAGGAAATGATTTAGGATAGAGAAGCAATTATGGAATTGATGTTATTATGTTGTGTTGTGTAATGTATTAATGAACTTTATGTTGAGAATGCAATGGATTATGAATGATATGTGATTAAATTTTGTTTGCATGACATGCCTAAATGCTGAAATATTGAATGGTATAATGTCAAAAGAGTGTAGGAAAAAGAAAAATGGGAGATAAATTAAAGAAAGTAGCATTAGGGGATGGAATCTCCTGAAAAGAGGCCAAACTTGTGGCGCATAAAATAATGAGCAATTGTTGGAATTTGGACATGAAATTTTACAGGCTTATAGATATCATTTTTAGCTTTAAAAAAGTGGAAAATCACTAAAAGTGGAGTTTTGTGCTAAGAGTTATGCCTTTCCAAAGTTGGGTAAAAATACTGAAAATTTGAAAATTTACCAAATGAACAGTGCACTTTGACGAATTTCTTGGAATTATTCTGGGTGGAACTTGACCTAATGAGTATTTTTTTCTCCGTAGAACTCTTAGCAAGCTTTGTGTAAAAATTGGAATCATATCGTTTTGTTTTTTTTAGAATTAATTATAAATTTTCAAATTTAGCTCATTTTCGGATGAACAGTGTATGGACAAGATGAACAGTAAAATCTTGAATTTTAAATTTTTCGCTCAGACGTGTTATGAAACGATTTATATTAGTTCCAATTGATGTATCATGGATTATAAAGAGAGGTGTGACATTTTTTGGTATCAGACCAAAGGTTCTAGCTCTATTTCTGTGCACTGAGTTTGCTGTTATGTATTATGCACAATGATTAATTATTGTGAATAGTATTTGGTAGTTGCATTGTTTTAATTGTTATTGTTGATCATGAAATGTGATTGTTGATTGAATGATTCTAGTTGGGATTATATCTAGGGTAGACTGGTATATTATAGATTGAGTTGAGTATAGGATAAACAATGGCCTGCTGTAGTGATGATTCCAGGAAAACAGTAAACCAGAGGATGCTGGGGGAGCTGTACCCAGACTGGTTCCATCCATATGTTTCTGATCCTGATGACCCGACTCCACCACCTAGAGCCTCTCTGGGAGATAAAGGATATATATTCAGAAGAGGACTCTAATGATCCAATCAAGTTAGAGAAAGGTGATGCTCAAAGCAACACAAGACCTCAGCCACACCTTGATGAGGTGAGTCCCAGTGCCATTAGGGCGGTACCTATCCTAATGGTAAGGCCAGAGCAAATTAAGACCAAGGATCTGTCAATCAAGAAGAGACCTCTATCAGTAAAGAAGGTATTTAAAGACCATAACAGTATCTTCTAGGAATTCATTGAACTCAGTAGACACATAGATCTGACACAGAATTAGTATGTCCCGGTCTACCAGGGCTACTTCTATTACTTAAGGTTACTACATAACGAAGTAGTCGAGGAAGGTTAACATGTAGATGACGTCTTATGGTATGGAGTGTTACTAAAGACATTACCTACCACTCGAGTTTGGCAGACTCATATTCGACAGCTTTGCAAATCCTCTATGCCCAGTGATGTTGATCAGCTACTAGACGACTTGGAACTTTTTGTAGTTACTCTGTTTCCCTCTTCCTCTGCTGGGTTGTAAATATAGGATGACTGTATACTATACTAACTGTATAGGCTGTGACCTTACTTTTGCTGACTATACCTGATGTATATATAAACTGAAAAGTAATACAAATATTATTTATATAAATTAATGATTCTGTTCCTCTTATAGTTAAGACGAAAACAACAAAATGGTGAGAATAAGAGGAGGGTCAAGAGGAAGGGGAGAATCGTCAAAACCCCCGGTTGATCTGATGGAAAGGATTATAGAGAGACTAGAGGAACAGTAGAGGACCATGGCTGAGAGACAGGCCACTCAGGCTAGGCAAGAACAGGGGAGATATGCGGCTATAGCTATGGCAGTAGCAGCAGCACTAGCATAATTACGACAACCCGGACCAGATATAGCCAGGACAGCCCAACCTACGCCACAACCACCACAACGGCCACCTGGAATAGCTCCTCTGAGGCCCCATCCTACTGTAGAGCTTGATACACTACAACAATGGATTGTTAAGTTTGGCAAACACAATCCTACTGCTTTTAAGGGGACCGTTGATGTGCAAATAGCTGAAGACTGGATAACTCGGCTGGAAAAGATCTTTACTATACTAGAGTGTCCGTCTGAGAGGAAGGCACAAATAGCAATCTATAAACTAGAAGGGGAAGCCGACATATGGTGGAAGAACACTGAACTGGTCCTCCAGGTTAATGGAACCCCTTTACCTGGGAGGTATTTAAGGATCAGTTCTTTCTGACATATTTTTCTTGATCTGTGAGGGACGAGAAAGAAGCAGAGTTCCTTAATATAAGGTAAGTAGCGAACAAACCTTTCAATGAGTACTTGGCAAGGTACATTAAGTTATCCAGGTACTCCACTTATCTCCAGCACATGAACGATGAGCATTGGTTCACAGAGAAAATGATAAGGGAACTAAAGCCCGAGTTAAGAGAAAAGGTAGCCCCATGACAACTTGAAGTATTTAACAAGACATTGGAGGTCTACCGCATTATGGAGAATAGCCAGAATCATCAAGATTCGGCCAGGGCAACACAAAGGGCTGAGAGATTCGCGGGAAGGCCAAGTTAGGAAGGGACTTCCTACGGTAATAGCAAGGGAAAAAAAAAGGCCTAGTTCATCAAGAAGACTTAAGCGAAGAGGAAGAGCAAGACAAGAAGGAATGAACCCCATTCCCCAAGGAAGGGAATGTGAGATTTGTGGTAAAAGCCATGGGGATAGGCCATGCTTGATGGGCTAAAATGTATGCTTTAAGTGTGGAAAGCCAGGACATTTCATACGAGAGTGCCTACAGAATAGGGAGAGTTCGAGGCTATAAACTCAGGACAGGGTATTTGCCCTTAGCAAGGAAGAGACTAGTAAGCCGCTTAAGATGCCCCGAGGTACAATCATTCTAAATGATCTCTTTATACAACCATTTTTTTGACTCTGGTGCTAATCATTCCTTTATATCGTATGATGACGTGATACGCATAGGCCTCACCATTGACATGTTATTATATGATCTTTGTATTTTCATTCCTACAGGTACTAGAGGTTTAACTTCTGATGGTTATTTAAATGGCATGTTCTGATATGTTCCTTGTTGCACTAAATTGAACCCCATAAGCATGCCTTTCCATGACATTGATGTTATACTCAGTTGAATGGGTTATCCTTGCATAATTTACTCCTTGATTGTAAGAAGAAAGCATTGACCCTACCTGTCGGAAGATTTGGTCTTCACATTGAAGTGAAACCAAATTGCATTACGGAGGCAAAGATGGGTAAATACGTGAGACAGGGTCACAAAAGACTTGAGTAAAATAGAGGCAAGACGATAGGATAAAATACTTAAAGTTTGTATTAGAACCCTAAATAGGGATAAAAGCCCTTAGGCATGATAAACTAAAAGGGATAGAGACGAGATGATATGAAATGAAGAACTAACACTAAGTTAAGTGCCTGACCAAAATAACACAGCGTGATGATTAAATATTTGCTGTGTAATGTGATAGAAGGAGGGTGGTCGATATCCGTTCGTAAGGATATCATGAAAAGGAAATAGATGAGAATGTGATAGTTGATAGTTGTACTGAGAAGTGATATACAGAAAGTAATGAGC